ATACTATTCAGGGAGGTTAACATTGGACAGTGTTAGCGAAAAAAGGACGAGGCAGCTTTTAAATAGCGAGCACAAAGGATCTGCCTTATTATACGTCTTACATTACATGTTTTTGTTGGGTTTTTGGACAAGACAATTCGAAGAGGAATGTGAAAGTCAAGACCTTTGTTCAATGGCACTGATACCGAGATTTCAGCAGGAATTGAAATTATATTAAACATAGATACAGGTGGCATGTGCGTCAGTAATGTCCATTGTTCACAATCCGTCGGGGCTGTGACCTTTTGCGTCGCCTGAGAGGGGTAATCCTTTATCAGCAGGAGGCTTAGACCCGGACAAAAGAATGCTACGAACCAGGAGCGTTTCGACTCAGGACGTGAATTGTCAACCACTCTCAGGACTGGCATCTGTGCGGTTGGCGAAGGCGTTGGAAGGGAATCATAAGAGTCTTCAAAAATGTCATCCTGGGAACCATCCAAAAAGTTATACAGATCGGTATAGATGGGTGGCGAATAGGTGCCCTCAAACATCTAAGCCCCAACGATAAGCTCCTCAGAAAAAATGAAGATAAAGATGAGACCAACATTATTTTGCTCTTGATTAAACCAGTAGAAAGGTTGCTTAGCCCCATGAGTACAATTCGCAGGGAATGCGAACTGCTTGTTGTTGGCGAGATCCGATCCACAACGCCTAGGAACCTGTGGCTCGGCAAGGGCAACCGTCGACGTCGATTCCGTGATGTTGCACTTGAAGCCGTTCATATAATCTACCCATCAACGGAATCAATTGTAGCACTGTTAGAACGTTAGACAAAGTATACTTACTCTGCTCGCCTCCGCTATCAGGCTAGGCAACGAAATGGTCAGATGCCACCTAAACGTAACGATGGGAAGGGAACGTACTGAATGAATCCAAAAGAAAGCACAGATACATCACCATCGGGACAAGGCGGCATTCGAGCCGGCACTTGGAAGTCCGTGAACCGAGTCCACACACAAGTTTGGTTCACACTGAAAACTGTAAAGTCTTCCGGAGCAACGGATCGGGCATCGTTCTTGTATGCGATAGCTAGTGCGCATCCCGTGAGGTCGTCAATACCCGTCGTATGGTACTCATCCATGCCGGCTCCCGGACATACGTTGTTCGGGTTATCTGGTTCTCGGATGTCACCTCCATCGGAAGATGCGAAGTAGCTTGTGGCGCCCTTGTTGCAGGCTATCTCAGCTGTTGCGGTTTGGGCTGCGGGGAGGTCGAAGATATCTCCCTCGTTGGGGGGATAATCGAGATGACCGTGAAACCACCATTGGTCAAAAGTCATGTCCATTAGAGGAGCGACGGGACGGTTGTCATAAGGGAATGTATCGCCTGTCACATTAAAGCCGCTGAGATAGAAATTAGAAGGGATATAGCTTGATGTGTGTGTCGACATACTACATGCTCGGATGAAATAAAGCTAGACGAGACATCAGTTTCGTCGCCACATATTGAGAACGAAACTGACCTGCATGACCGACTGCAAATTTTCCTGCGCTGCATAGTGTACCGATGATTGAAAAGAACTTGAAGAGGTCATTATCAACGTAAAAGTTCGTCAAGAACAAGCCACCAGGGCCAAAAAGTAGAAACAGTGTCATCAATATTTCTCGACTGCCTTTATATACCAAAAAGCTGGGAACAATACCGCGAGGGTCGAACGTCGAGACAATAGTCCTTTGTTCCCAAACCGGAAGTGGATGGAACGCGCAATGTCCGCGGTCACCTGACTATTACGTCGCAACTACCGTATTACGGCAGCCCCGGCAACCGTCGAATTGCCTTTTCGATGTTCTCCAACCTTTCGCAGCGACAGTCAAAGCGGCACACAGCTAACCGGACATTCTCATTCGTAGGGCGATTCATACCTTGACAGCTATATTTCTTCTTTTACCTTCATCTGATCTGCGATTTCTGATATCAACCCGGATGATGGACCCAACACTTGATCTGGAACAAGCAGAAAAGCCTCCGAAGCGACGGTGCTTGCAGGAAAAAATGGCCCCGTTGACGATAAATGTATCTCAGGCAAAATGGGGAGGATCGCAGGTGCTGCAGGTGAGCACAACATTCAATTCGAGGTGATAAAAAGCCTGACTTCCCCATTGAAGGAGAGCACGAATTCAAGCAGCTGGACATCTGCCTCAAGTTCGTCCTTCATCTAGTGAGTTGTACTTTCCCTTCTATTGAGCTGGCTGATCGTTGTACAGTACCCCCGACCCAGATACCAGCTATACATTCGGCGTACCGAACCCAACCACTGTTCAAGTAGCCCTCCCTACTCCACCATTGACGTCTCCTATTCGTCGAACGCGAGACGAAATAGCTCGTCAGCGCCGGTACTCCCAGGCTGAAGAGGCTCTTGCCCTAACTGCGCAGCTCACGCTTCAGGAAACTTCCCAGACGGAGTTGCAAAATCCGGACACTCGAACAAGCTGCTTCCCTGCTTAACTCCCGCTTGGAGGATGCACGAGAACGCTCAGCCAAACTTCGTTCATTGCTGAACGACCGGGAGACAGATCCTGCAACATTCGAATCACTCAAGCGGGAACGCTGGATGGAAGAACGTCGGAAGGCATTGGCGGAGGAAGAATCCCGGGTTATACGTGCACAGCTGGCTTCCCTGACCAAAGGTAGTGATGCTGTCTGTGAGAGCCCCGTTACTTCATCGAGACACCAGGCAAATCTTCTCCAATACCTGCAATCCTCAAATACCAGACGGCCTATTCATCCAGCACATACTGAGATCACTACTGTTGGTGAACGTGCTACCAGACGGATTACGCTTTGCGAAGCATCGCCGGCGCGCCTCCGTATGTCCATCGGGTCGAGGCACGCTCGATCCTTGTCCATGGATCAGAAACCGCATCCAACTTCGCCGTTTAATTTCGAGCGGAAATTACTGAAGAAGCCCTTCTCGACTGTAGATTCCCTGTCATTAGGCGGGCTGACTGAAGATGACTCCCATGCGTGGTGCAAAATCAAAAATTCTTCGACAGCTGCCCCAGTGACACCTCGCCACTCACCGTCGCGTTCGCCGTTATCACGCAGGCTCAGACCCTCCGTCAGGGAGACATGTGGTACAGCAACTATCCATACGCCAGTTGCTGTTAAAGTACGCCCTACGGCCGACATATTGGCCGACCTTCCTCCGGTGGCACTCCCTGTGTACGCTGTTGACCTCCTTGGGGATTTTGATGAGCACAGAACGCCCACTTTGAAATTATCAAGAGATCAAATGATGCGAATGTCCAGAGAGAGTCGGCGGTCGAGGGACTCTGCGCCGCGGCCATCGCTGGCGTTTTCAGAATGGGAGGTTCTTTCGACGACCTCATCCACCATCGTCGATCCCTTTTCAACATCCTCATCCTCGTATATCTCACCGTCTACCCCTCGTCCGCTATCGAAGCCCCTTCCTCCCGTGATTGAGGCGTCCATTGACTACGACCCTTCTCCTCGTACTCCTCGACCAGTGAAGTCCCTTCCATCCGCCACAGATCCAATCCACGAGCCTCCTCCGTCACCTACCCCTGCCCTGCGGCGTTCTGTCAGATCCATCTCAGACGCGGATAGCATCCCCTCGCCCGTTCCTCGACGATTAGCAAGGTCTCGCCTATCAATAGGCGAACCTGTCCTCACTCCAGACATCTTTACTAGGCGCATTCGCCGACCATTCTCCTTCGGCTTTTTCAAGCAAGGCGGGTCGGCATCTCCCACACGACTCTTGTCCGTGATACCTGAGTCTGCGCCTTCGACACCGAAACATGAGTCCCCATTGAAGAGGAGACTGAAAATGTTTTTCTGATACCTCACATATGTATCAAAGGACAAAAACACCTCTATATTCTAGTCATATTGTATGCGCATGCTTAGATCTTGATTGTATATGTATGTACTATACTCGAGTGCTTTCTAATTGTTTTACTGGGTGATATTAGCATTACGTATTCTGACTGTATGGAGTCATTGCATTCTGGTGTGGCTTCCTGGCGCAATGGTAGCGCGTTTGGCTTCGATTGCCGAATGATACCAAAAGGTTGCAGGTTCGAGTCCTGCGGTGGTCAACGTCGATGGCTAAAGTCTATTGATATTTTGTCATCCCAAGAACTAAGGTACTGATCACTAATCACTAGTAAGCATGTGCACGTCCGTTGAATTAAGCCTGAGCAGTGATCAGTGTGGCCACTAATCGCATTTCACACAGGATCCATGTTACAGTACATACGCAGTCCGTCCGATGCTCTATGATATTAGATATGCACCTACTGTAACTACGCCTACATCATGAAGAATGGCGACGCACGACGTCCTGGAAAGGACTTCTTGCTCGTCTAGGGAGGGTAGAGCCGGTCTAATCCACGTCCTAGAAAGGTCACATCAATACCGTCGTCTGCGATTTGCTTTATTCGTTCCACCAGGTCTGGGGTCATCTTCTCCACCTCCAGCGAAGTAAGCGTCAACTGGGTTAAAACGTCCCTCCGCGCTACAACCACCGCACTGAATGCTTCCTCGCACTCACCGAAGAACGACGTCTCCCCATCTTCAGTCTCAAACCCATCACGGATCGACAACTCACGAAGATACGGTATCAACCTAGTGTCCCCTAGGAGTCCGTACACTTCCACAGATTCCGCGTATATCTCCAGCTGCGTGAGCGTTCTCAACGAATGTGAACAGAAGATCAATGGTAGAATTTTTGCGACACGACCGTAGCCCATCAGACCCAGACGACGGAGGCGGCATTTAGATCGGTCCAAGAAGTATGGCAAGACCAGCGTCTTTTCCTCTATGATCTCGGAGTCAACGTCCGGATCGTCTTCATCCAATGTCAGCCCTTCCAGAGCAGGAAGAGTGAGGTGTTCTAGAGCTGAGAATCCTGTATCAAGGTAACTCAGTTTACTGTGGGTGATCTTCTCGACTGGAGACCCAAAAGGCGAATTTGAACTATAATTGCCCGAAGGCCAAGCCTCCAACGAAACTAGATCGTTCGCCCCTTTCAATATGACCACGAGCTGATCGTAGCTGTCTACGAACACTTGCTCCAGGACATGCAGTTCTGCGAACGGGAGCTGGATCTCATTTGGTACCCGGATCTCCATAAAACGCACGCTTCGTAGCTGCGTCGATTGCATAAACACTTCGACGCTCGTAGACAAATCGAGGGAAGTCCCGATACTCAATTCCAGCTGTTGAAGGCGGGGGAATGAGCACGACAGCCTTTCCAAAGTTGGAGCGGGAATGTCGAGCCTCAGCGATATACAGCGAGGTGCCGTCAGCGAAAGGATGCCCATGGCAATCTCTTCACACCCTGAGTCATCCAAATCCATACGGATACAGAGATGTAGTGGGAAATTCCGCGACCGTGAAAGGGCGGCGTGCACGAGAAACTGCTCATGTTTCACGTAATGTGACGCACTATATATATGCGTCCACAGTGAGGGAGAAGTAAGAGTGGTAGCACGCCAGAAGCTGGATACGTGACTCAGCACCCATGGCATTTCTAGAGTGCTGAATGGACGAGAGGGTATGGTGTAATAATCTTCGCGAACGCTAGGAGGATGTTCCGGGGGAAGGAGAGAGAAGATTTCGAGCAAAAGCTCGACAGGGAGTCGGCGGATGGGTGCCATGAGTGATTGTCTAACGTTCAAGGATGTTTTCTTCTTCTCTCGGTCTAGGCAATCAATGTGTTCCAGCTCCCTTATTAAGGCAGCAACGTCAGAAAGGATCCGTGCCCCTTCTTCATCTGTGGGTGTGTAGTTGGATCGTAGAAGAGTGTAGATCTGGAATTCATGTGCGTCCGTATTCTGTTGCTCCATGGCACGCAGGAAGGGAAGAAAGCTGGAGTTGAAGTTAACAGAAGGTACTAGTGACACAACCTAGAGCCAAAGCTGCACAAGATATGTCACCAGATGCACGGTTGGAGGCGGGGGTACTATATGCTCGGTTCGCTGGAATTGGCGCCGAACGTGTGAGAGTTGGTCGTCAATAGGAAAGATATGAATGATTCGGATCACTGATCACATCAGCATCAGTGATCATATAGCTCCAGGACTTGGTACACCGAGCTGGGGTTTTTTTTGCTTAGCGTCTAGGAAGGGATCCTTGAAGGGCTGTGAAGATTAATATGACTATTAGAATCGGGATCATGCTCGAAGGGTACGTACTTACGACGGGTAGAGGCGACAAAAGAATTTTGAGGATTAAACAATCTTCCCAATAAAAGTCGACCCTTCACAAGCAAAAGAATGATGCGATTGTAGTCAGCCGACAGCGACGCACAGCCACCACACGTTCCTTGGTTTCCTTTCCCATTATGACTAAGGGGCAACTACTACATTGAGTTATTCCTGCAACACAGATCACCCCCTCGTCGACAATACTATGCCATTTACAAATACCTCATTGTCTTCTATTTCTCTCCTTCCTCGCGACATCCTCCTCGAGATTTTTATCTGGTTGTCGTGGAGTGCAGACAACCACGCCGACATCACCCAAGCACCGTGGGTTCTCGGTCATGTTTGCAGGTCGTGGAGAGACACAATAAAATCTGTCAAATGGCTTTGGTCCATGGTTATTTTACGCGTGCACAGCTACGACCGGAAAGTCCTGCGTGTTCTCAAACATTTCCTCCGTCGCTCCGACCAGTCTCTTTTCAAAATCGACCTTACATTCAACGAAGAGGCCTCCCGAAAAGCTATCCGCAGCGTTTTTCGCGTACTATCTTCCCACCTGCCTCGCTGAGCAGGCCTCAGCATCCTTATCCCGCAGAAAGGAGTCTGGGAGCTGATTGAACTCGCACAAGACCTTCCCGAGTTGCGGTTTCTGGACATTCTTATTCCTTCGTCCGATGATGAAGACGATTTTGACGAGGAAGAGACATTCAGCATTTTCTCTACTGCACCAAGACTTACAGGTGTCAGCTTGTTCGGCATATACACCGTGGGGAAACATCTACCTCCCTGCTGCACAAATACAGGAGTTCCACGGAGACTTTTACACCACCGAGGAATTGTACCGGTTTGTATTCAAGGCGCGCCACCTCGATACCCTGGAAGTGTCATTTCACTACCCAGCCTCAGACCCACTCGTGCAGCCCCTCACTCACAGCAATCTCCGCCGACTCGTAGTCCTCCAGTCTGAGCTGGCATGGATGGAGACATTCAGTTTTCCCCATCTGGAAGAATTGGAGATCTTCCAGCATTGCCCGGATTGCCGGATTGCTAAGGCTAGTGTCAATGAACTATCCGCCCTGGTAGAGCGCTCCATGTGCAAACTCCAGAAGTTCGTTCTGAGAGCCGCTCTTCCTGCATCGACGCTCATTCATATCCTTCGGTCCCAATCTTCCCTGGCCGAGCTTCACATTACTGTCAACCTGGCCAATGCCAGGGACATCTTCATTGCCTTCACATCCTCGGGCTTTCTGCCCGCGTTGATGCGTTTGGAGATCATTGAGGAGTATTGTTCCTCGCAAAGATTTTCTGTTTTCATGGAGACCCATAGCGAAGTGTTTACAATGATTCGGTCGAGATGGGCCAAGACATTGGGTTCTCGCCTTCGCTATCTCTGCCTGGATATCAGTAATGCGAGGGTCAAGGCTGTTCGAAAAATGGTCGATTTTTATTCCTACGATGCTATCATTTCGGAGGCGAGGGCTCGAGGCTTAGACATCCGTTTGAACTGTTCAGGTGTCTTCATCCTCGATGGACAATCGCAGCGTTCTAAAATATGTGCGACCGGCTAATATGATTGCCACACATACCCAAACGGTTTCCAGCGTACTTTAAACAACACGATGAATACCGAGCAATGCCATATTAGGCGTAGATACACAGAATGGAAGCTCATAGTAAAAGAACTGGCGCGGTATTCACGGGAAGATACGACGACGCGTGGAGAAATTGACACCAAAAATCTCAACAGTAATACCTCTTTGCTGAAGTCGCGATACATGTTCCTCTAGATCAGGAGTCATTTCGTGCACTTCTCGTGAAAAGAGGGAAACAAAATTCAGCTTTAACCCCCGCGACCAAACCATCTCGTAAAATGAAAGGGAGTTCGGTCCCGACCCAAAAAAGGTCGTCATACCGGTGGGAATATGGTCCGGCCAATCTTGTATGGACAGTCTCTGTAGATTGGGCATAAGCTCCGATTCGGGAGTCAATGTGAGGAGGTGATATATGTCCTGAGCGGTGCTCCATGGTACAACGATTGCTAGCCGTGTCAATGTGTATGACGAATACTCGAGTACGGCGGGTAGAAGGGGGAATATATGTTTTGTATGCAAGATGGAGAGGTCGTCCAGTACACATTCCGATCTATAAAGGAATTCGAGTAATGTTTCCATCCGACCGTTCATGAACCCGCCTTCTTCAAGCGCCAAACACCGAAGGGCAGGAAGTTTTAGGGATGATAGAATTTCTGAGGGCGTTGTCGACAGATGTAGTCGACGCAGCTTATTATGCGTAATCATCGGTAAACCTTCACATCGTGGTATACGCAACCCCGAACCCATCTCGGCGAACGAGAAATCGAAATATTCCAACTCCGGCGCTGCATTCACGATATCTTGTATTTGGTCAAACGTCGCAAGAGGTATTCGGACGAGCGACTTGAGTTTCGTTAGAGGAAGGGAGAGTTCGGCGAGGGAGAAGTCTGCGTTGACGGCGCAAAGGTTGGGGGATTTCATGAATACAGTGACATGCTCATCGTGCATCTTTGAATTGTCAGGTTGAGCTCCAGACACACGGCGAATCGTTAAAATACGTAACGAGGGTAAACCTGCAGGGTGGCAACACAAGGTCTCAATGATCGCCGCGCTGGGTGTAGCCAACTCGAGGGTAGCACAACGGTGAAAAAGTGGAAAGAGGAGTGTCCTGAGCTTCCCAATGTCCCCATAATCGTAATCTTCAATCCGGAGTTGAAGGTGTAAGGGGAAGTCTTGTGAACGAGCAAGCTGAAGTCGCACAAGCGACTCCTGCTGGACCGTTAGGTCTGGTGTGAGTGATACAGTTGCCCATAAAGACGGGATAGAGATTGCGAGTTTTCGCCAATAGCTGGATACTTG